CCAGGAGGCCCCGCCCCTGGAGCCCTGGCCCCGCCCCCAGCCTGCCCTCTGTCCCCCACTGCAGGGCATCCTCAGGAAGACCGGCTGCTGCTACTCCTGTGAGGAAGTGGGTAAGTGGAGCCGCCTTCCCGCCCTCCAGCTTGGTCCAGCCTCCACCCATTGGCTCTGTCCCGGCCTCTAGAACCCCACATTGAATGGCCAGCTCTGGAGGGAATGTGGAAGCCGCGCCCAGGTGGGGTGCCCAGGGCCCCCACCCTCATCGCCTTTCTTTCCTCTGTCCAGACTCCTGCCAGGTCCACATCAACAGGACAGTCCTGGGGCACCGGGGCTGCAAGGCCCCTGTCAACCTCACCTTCTGCAAGGGCTCCTGCCCAGGAGTGTCCAAGTGAGTGGGCCCTGCGCCCTCCCCAGAGCCCACCTCCGCCCACCACTGGAGGCCTCCTACGGGCAAGCAGAGAGCCAGCCCCAGGCCACAGATCAGCACCTAGTGCCCACATGGCCCTGTCCTGGGCCAATGCCCTCTGCTGGGTCCGGAGGGTCCAGGGAGGAGGAAAGGGGTGGCCCAGAGGAGCTCCCTCTCTCCACGTCTACCTGAAGAACACCCGGGACCTCCCCTGACACTCAGAGCCAGGCCTGGACCAGTTGGGCACAGGCAGACATTGCGTCCAGGGGCCTGGGGCAGGGTCCACTTGGGGGGTGGGCAGACTCCGGGCCTCCCATGGACCAGACTCTCAAGGCAGAGCTGCTGGCAGAGCCGGCCCCCTGAACCAAGCTGGCCTGGGCTGCAAACAGCTGTGAGCCTTCGGACAGAGAGGCGGGGAGCAGGGGCCAGGGCAGGTTCTTGGGAGGGGTCTGCGGGGTCCCAAGTTTGAGGAGCTGGTTCGGGGAAGAAAGGGTGCCTGGTGGGAGGGGAGGGGTTCAGAGTGACCTGAATGCCTGCAGAGCTGTCCCAGGCCAGGCCTGCAAAGCCTACATCCTCAGACCAGCACAGGGCCGCACCGGCTCAGGATACGTGTTGTCCGCAGGTACTCCCCGGAGGCCCAGGCCATGCAGCGGCGGTGCACCTGCTGCCAGGAGAGCAGGGCCCATGAGGAGGAGGTGACCCTGCAGTGTCCCGATGGGACGGCCGTCCGCCACACCTACACCCACATAGATGAGTGCAAATGTGCCCTGGCCTGCGTCCCCGCACCAGCCACTCAGGAGGACAGCATCCCCGTCTGATGCCCTTCTGCTCTGCCCACCTCCCATCTGCCCTGGGTGACACCCACACCCTGGCGGGAGACAGGGGTGAAGGTCCACTGGAAGAGGGCACAAGGCAGGGAGTCTCTCTGGCCCGTCTGGCCAGCTGCCCTGTCCTCATGGCCACCCTCATCTGAAACAAGCACCTACTCCACCCCCTAACCCCCTTCCTGGCGTCAGAGGGACAGGCTGTGCTGCCTTCTCTGGGGGCCTGAGACCCCCACCACCCGGGAACCCCGTGGAGCGGATTCCCGCCAGCCACCTCTGCAGCAAACGCGCACCGACAGTGGTCCAGGCTAGGCGTGTTGCCTCCAGGGAGCTGTCAGGCAGGGTGCTGCCTGCCAATGTCTGGACCTGGTGCTAAGGCTCTGATGGCCAAGGGGGGGGGCAGAGGGGTGTCAGTGCCCTGAAGCCCCGCCCTGATCACCCAGCCCCAACCTTGCAAAAATAAATGCTGAGCATCGTGCAAACATCCTGGTCCTGGCTTCTCTTCCCGCCACCTGTGCCCCCTGGGCACTTCACCCATCTGTGGGCTGGGCTGCCAGGGGCCCCACAGGCTGAACGCACCATGGGGCTTGTGCTGGACCCGCTGGGAAGGACAGGACGGGGTGAGGACATGGAGGCCCGGGTCAGCCTGGGGTGGGCTGTGGGGCAGGAGCCAGGGGTCGGCCAAGGGCTCAGAAACACCCTCACTATTGTTTCGAAGGCACAAGGTTAATTAGGCAAGTGGTCAGATGGAGAAAAACTGGACCAGCGAACACGTGCAGGACTCAGCTGCCCCCCAGGCTGGGGCTGCACAGGGATGGGGGGAGCACGCTGCTCAGACCCCAAGGGAGCCGCTGCCTACGCCGTCCCCGCCCTGACCTATCCACACCTGCCTCCTGTGGCACCTTTTCTTCAGGGCACCAGTCCCACATCAACTCGTGTGTCAGTTTCCTTCTCTGGAAGCAGGGAGGGGTTCCTGTCTTTCCCTCCGGCCCCTTACCCAGAGCATGACCTGCACATGTGGGGGTGGCAGGCGGTGAAAGCACCATCAGGCCATGTGTGTGCCCAGGGTGCAGAGGGCGCCCTGGCTGTGGGCTTGACCTTGGCAGGAAGGACAAGAGATGACCTCCAAGTGGGCTGGACAGTTATGGGAGGCCACCACCTGGAGGCAAAGGCAATGCTGGCGGGAGGGTCTTCCTGGGCCATCCCCATCTCCAACCCACCCAGACAGGACAGCAAAGGAGACTCACATTTAGAGGCAGGACTACAAAGCAAACCTGACCCCAGGCCGTCCCCACCCAGTGCAGTGCTGGGGGCTCCTGCATAACTCTCATCTGAAAGCAAAAGCCCACGCTTGGAGAGAATATTTAGGGTCATGTTCTGAGCCACTGGGTCCGACCTGTCCAGAGGATCCCATAACTAGTTCACTACAGGGAGTCTGTTCAGATTCCTGCACCAGCCCGGCTGTGAGCTAAGTTAAAAAACACTCCGACACAAATGGTAAACTTTCCCTGAAGGACTTTAATTCTCTATTTTTATATAGATCATTTGTTAAATTAGAAGGCTGGAAAGTAAAAATATATCTTACAGTCAAAGAAAAATTGACACTGGACCCCATGAGAAGAACCAGAAGCACAGGCCCTGAGACTCTGTGCCCACAGGGGGGAGGGGCCTTCGGGCGACGGGGGATGGCAGAGAAGGGGGAAGAACCCGACTGCCTGCTTCTCTTCCCCCAGAGCAGGGCCCCAAGGCTGCCATCTGCAGGAGGCGGGGGAACCTCCTCTGTGCAGCTGACTGAGCCCTGCCGAGGGACCCACTTCCCTGTGGGGCGCAGGCCACACGAGCTCAGACCTGGGAACAGCATGAGGAGGATGGGACCTGCTGTAACTAAGGCTTGTGAAACGGGGCCTTTCATCAATTAAAAAAATAGTGCTTGTGAAAGAGGAACGCAGAGATGTGGCAAGTGCAGATCACCCTAAAAACTATCGTGCTCCACATTCTGGGGTTCCCACATGCTGAGCCGGGAGTCTGCTCTGGGGGCTGGACCTAGGACTCCGCAGAGTCCCACGAGCGCCTCCCTGGCACCTCAGAGGATGGTGCAGGGGCCCCCTGGCACCTGTCTCGTCCTGTTCCTAGCTTGCTGTCACCCCTCAAACACCAGGGAGCTACAGCCTGCCTGACACTTCATCCGCTGAGACGTCCTCCTCACAGGCATGAGACCAGCTGCTGACATATAACCACAGGGTCACAGAAGTCGGTGCTTATCGAGCTCCAGCAGGGGCGCCGAGCCCCTCAGCAGGGTCAGCCTGCGCTGAGAAACCCCTCACCACCAGCTGCCATACCCTCCAGGCTCAGAGAATGCAGGCCAGGAGCAGTGCACCTGACCAAACACAGCCCGAAGGTGGCAGAGAACAGCCCTCTGGTGCCAACAGCCTGCGCGTGTGGAGGAAGGAGCACGAACAAGCTGTAACGTCCTCCTGCTAACCCGCCAGACGTCCAGGCTGTCAGGACTGTCCCGACGCTGTATGGGGAATGTCTTGTGCCCAAGGCTGGGGCCACAACTCCTAAGAAAGGATGGTGACTGTGGCTTAATGCAAACTGAACCCACGACCACGAGGATGCAGAGAACTTGAATCAGCGCGTGGTATAAAGTGCGTCGCCTCTGAGAACAGCTCACATTTCACTAGGTGTCACCCAGCCTGTCCCCGTGCTGTGTCCTCGGCCAGAGCCGGGCCAGGGTGCCTAAGGTTCATGTGCACCTCCAGCCTCCCAGGGAGACTGCCACCTGTCTCCACCCTCCACGCTGAGCTGTTTCCTGGAATCAACGTCAGCGGTGAGCCCCGCAGTCCCCACACCCTTTAACAAAATCCTACATCTATTACTTTTTACCCCAACTTTAGGTTCTGGTGCAAGTCAGTCAAGGAGAAGAGAAGCCACCCCTCGGAATAACATCCCACAAAGCTGCATGAACAGCAGGAGAGACAAAAGGGACCCCCTGACCTAAGGACGGCCCTGCTCCAGCCACCCCAAGGACTGTGCCCGGCGCTGGATGGCGAGCTGTCCGCAGTCAGGCTGACACCTGTGGCTGAGGCCTGGCCAAGCCACATGGGCCCAGGACACCAGGGAGCAACCAGGTCCACAGAGCACATCAATGGAGGGACGTGAGTTCTCAGTTGGCAAGTTCTAAAACCACCCCAGAGCAGCTGTTGATGGAACAGGAACCTCAGTGAATAGGTCTAACCCCGTAAGCCACAGGACTACGTGCCAGTAACCAAGCCAGAGGGCGCTCGGCCCTTCCCCAGCTCCTGGCCAAGGCAGCTGCTCCGACAAGAGCACTCTGGGGGCAGCGGGTGGGGGAGAAGCTTGTGGCACCTGATCACACACGTCCCCAGCCAGGGAAGGTGAGTGTGTACATGGGACACAGCGCCCGTGTCTGCTCACCTCCCTACAGAGGGAGGAGGGAAGCCCCCCTCCACCCCCCCGCTCAGAGTCCAGAACAGCTGCCGGGAACCAGCCCATAGGCATCCCAACAGGGTGGACGGGATGGCACAGACATGAGGAAGGGGGTAACGGGGCTCTTTCACAGGAATCTTGTTGGGCAGGGCCCTTGGGGAACCCTGGGCAGGCAGGTCGGAAGGGCTGGAGGCGATAGGCAGCGAGGGCGCAGTCTAGGACCCCTCACCCATCTGGAGCAGGGAGTTGACGGCCGCGTCCTTATTCCCCCTCTGGGCTTCCAGCACGGAGCGGATCACCTCCCGGTCCATGTTGGGGAACATGTCCTGGATGGCCCTCAGGTCCTCCTCGTTACAGCGGGGTGGGGCGCTCACGGCCGCCGGGGGCAGGGCCACGGGCACCATGCTGGGGCCGCACACAGCCGGCACTCCTGCAAGCACAAGACAGGTTAGGGAGGCAGGCATGTCAACAGGGCGCCAGGCTACCGCTGGCTGAAGAAAGCAACTGGGCAATCTGCTGGCTCCCTCAGGGCTGGCCCTCAGGTCTCCTAGGCACCGACCAGCAAGAGCACCCGGGCAACGTAACCCTGAACCCCCAGGACACACAGGAGAAGAGTGAAGGGGGCAGCCCTCGTGTGCAGCCCCTCCTCACCCACTCACCCTCACACAACAGAACGCTAGGTCACTCTCCAAAACCAACCTCACATCAGCTTCTTTCACGAGGGGTGGAGGGGGGCACTCACACTTCCTGACCCCTAAGAGCTCTTAGACTTAAACCACAGGGCTCAATTTTCACTGCCCAAAGGTCACAAAACAAGTCCCTTCATCTGAGACCGCAAGAGCAAACAAAACCGTCCCGCTCATCCACCCGGGTCTCCCACCTGAGTGATTTCCCCAGCCTGGCCCGTGTGGCACGCCGTGTACTGACAGAGCACGGCCCAGGTGCCCAGAGGGGCTGCACACTTGTGTTCGGAACTCACACCACACATGGCAATGACAGGCAAACCACAGAGACCCGCATGGTGACTCAGAGTGCAGGGCAGTGCCAGTGCTCAGCCCTGGTTCCCTCCGTGATGGCTGTGCGGACAGGTAGGAAATGCAACCAAAGTGGGAGTGGGGCACTGGGCATCGAGTGGGCGACTAGGTCTCAAAAGGCTCAAGCAAAACTTCTTTCTTCTCCTTTGTAGCTTTTCTGTTACTATATGATTGTTTCAAAATTTACAAAGGCTATCAAAGGAGAGTCTCCATTTATAAAGAAATCTACCCTTTCCTAAAATAAAGACTTTAGAACAAACTTTAAAGAGAACCAAGAATGAAAACCACAAAGACACTATAAACTTTCTGTCCTTCCTAGAAAGCTGACTCCCATTAACCAAGCACACGCTGGTGTGGGAAACTGTGTGGGTGAAACTTTCCCAGACGTGTGGGGTTCTAACCTGGGTACCCATGAACTCACTGGGAAATGGGGTCTTTGCAGCTGTGACCGGGGAAGATGAACTCGCCCTGGGGCAGGATGAGCTCTTACCCAACTACTGATGTCCTCACAGATCAGCAGATACAGACACTTGAAGGAGCCATATGGAAACGAAGCAGACATGGGGGATGCAGCCACCAGCCCAGCAATGCCTGGACCCCAGAAGCTGGCCGAGGCAGAAGTACCCTCCCCAAACAGTCCTACGACACCCTGACTTTGGACTCTGGCCTCCAGAATGGAGAGAACTCCTGTTGTTTTAAGCCCTGGTCTGTGGGACTTTATTACAGCTGCCGCAAGACACTGACACCTTTCACGTCCCCTCCAGGCCAGCTATGCCTCCTCGGAACTCCAACTCAAGCCAGTCAAGGACAAATCTCATCAGATGCTGACCTGTGCCCTAGGGCGGGCATTGAGACCCAGCATGGAGGTCCTCGCCAACCTCTTCACAGTCAGAAACCCCCAAGGGTCCAACTCTGGCTGGCTGCCTCCTGGGGACAGCATCTCAGGGCGACCCACACAGGTCAGTGCTCCCCCAGCCCCTGTGCGTTTCAGGCCAACAACTCCTGCTTGACTCTCTAAGAGCACCCACTGCTCTTTGTCCCTAAGACATCCCCCTCCGTTTCCTGCAACATTACAGCTGTTCTCAAGATTCTGGTCACGTGGTCACCTTCTATGGACCGGCTTTGTCCTATGGCCACACTGTCCAGCTCCTTTGTGGGAAAGTGCTGGTCCTTGTTCCAGGGCAGTGGGATCCCAGCAGAATGCCCTGACCTGTGGGAACCTCTAACAGCCTCCCAGCTCCATCTCCCTGCCTCTCCCTCGCCAGGGCTGGCTCAGGCTGGGTTAGGGTGAGGGTGATCCTAGCAGCCTAGCACCCATGCTGCCCCCAATCCTGAAGCAGCACCCCAAGCATGAGCAGCCTGGGGCATTCAACCTCACACATCTCCCTCCTCTCTAGCGCCCCCCGCCCCACAGATGCTGGCCACTGCCGTTGGCTGGACGCTGGCCTTGCCTCCTTGGAGCAGTAGGCTGGCCACGTTCTGCTTGGACCCCAGCTCCCTGCACCGTGGTAAAGACACTGGGGCTCACCCATTTCCCTTCTCTCAGGGTCCCTGTCTCACACTACTTGCCTGGTACCTGAAAAGAGTGGCTGCCTCAACTAGTTTGCCATGTTTTATGGCTGTTTGTGGCGGAGTCTGGATGAGTCCAGGTACTGTCAGAGCCCGAAGTGAAAGCTAACCAACAGCTTTGAAAATTCAAAGACATAAAAGCTACAGTGCAACCTGACTTGGCTGTGCCGCCATGAACTGCTCCTTATAAAGATAACTTATAAAGATAAACAAATGACAAAATAGTCTCATTAGAGCACACGGTTCACTCCACCAACAGGAACATGGTCTTCTGTTGTGGAGACTCGGATACTAAAACGTTTAAAGGTTACATTTTTACATCTCCGTAAACTTCAACTTACTCTATTTGTGCCAATCCTCAGGGGAAAAGCAAATCCTATTTCCTACATATGCATAAAAAGTCCACATGTAACATCTGGCCCATTTCTGGGAGGCTCCTCATACCTCACTTGAGCAGGCTGAGCCTCTAGGCAGCGCTTCCAATCCCCAAACGTCCCCCATGTTTTACCACCACCCCAGGAGCCACCCAGGGGGGAGTGGCACTCACCTGTGATGGGCACGTAGCCGACACCCTGCTGGTACACGGTGGGCATCAGGACCACAGGCTGAGGCGGCATCATCATGGTAGCTGGCAGTGACTGCAACACACCAGAGATGGTCACGGGGTCACAGAAGAACACAGCACACATGAAACTTGTCTACCTCCAGCCACTCCAAACATGTCCCGGGAGTGATGGCACAGGGCCTGGAGCCCGGTCTTGAAACCCAGGAGCACAGAGCATCCACCATCTTCCGATACCCACTCTCACCAGCACCCAACAGAGCTCCTCTGCTGAACATCAGGAGGTGAGTGATCTGTGCTAAAATTGTCACCAGACCTGCAGGACCATGGCCGACCGAGATGCCACCACGGGAGAGCACAGTTCCAGAGCAAATGTAGGTGCAGACTGCTGGGTCAGCACCCATGGCCACTCACAAGGGTCTCTCTAGGACGTCTATTCTCTCAGTCAGTGTAGAGTGGTTTTGTGTTTCTGTACAGATGTCTGTTAAAGACACGTAAGGAGCCTGCCTGGTGCTCAGCAGTTGTGTGTCATCCATACACCAAAAGGTCACCAGCTCGATTCCTGGTCAGGGCACATGCCCAGGCTGTGGGCTTGATCCCTAGTGGGGGAGTGTACAGAAAGGAACCGACTGATGCTCTCCCACCACCCCAGCATGTCCTCGGGTGATGGGTAAAAAAAAAAAAAGTGCAGAAGAAAACACCTGCGAGTGAGGTCACGCTGACATTGTTGCTGGCTTTAACAAAAGGGAGGGGCTGCAACAGAACTCGCACGTGACCAATGCTGAGCCAGCTACCAGCCTACCCAGGACCTAGACCCTGCCCTCTATACTGCTTCGCATGTAGGAGAGTTTCTACGGAAAATGTTGGAATGATTATAATAAACCTCCCTGGTGACACAAAGGAGAAGGCAGGAACCCAGGGCCCTGGGCCCTCTAACCCTTCCTTGACCCATCAACTGCCTCTGTTGTCCCCAAGAATCCCAAGAGCGGCTGGGTGCTGAGGAGGAGCCGGGCCCTGAGGTGCTGGCCGGCACAGGCTCTGCTGTCCAGTCCAGAGGGCCAGGCCATCTCCCTTAGTCCCCATGCAGCCCTGAGACACCGCACTACTGCACAGGAGGGCCCTCAAGGCCGTAAAGGAAGCCACGCCTCAGACGGGCCGTGACCCCATGACTGGGTCACCACACAACACTGCTCCCAACAGAACGCTGGGGAGGGACAGGGCAGGATGGCTCTTCCTGTGACCATGCCGGAGACGTGCAGGCTCCGGCTGAGGCTCAGCTCCTCCGGGATACAGGCTCTGCTGAACTAGAAGGTGATCTGCCAATGGCCATCTGGGGCTCGTGAGGAGCAAGCCCTGGCCCGACACCGTCGCGGGCGCGCTCACCGAGTAAGACATCACCAGGTTGATCATGCCTTCCTTGTCGTCGCCCTGCCGCCCGCTCAGGCAGTACCACTTGTCCTCCACCTCGCCCTGCTTTAGGGCCTCGGAGATCGTGATGTGTGTCCAGGCGATGCGGTCATCCATGGAGAAAGCTCGCTGAGGGGACCACAGGGAAAACCAGCACTGAGAACTTGCAACCCCACCGAGTGCTATCCCCGCTCCTGCCCCTCAGACCCCCTCCTGAAGCTCCACCCCCATCGAAGAGCCCACTTCCCTGGGATCGGGCTCCTTTGCACATGGGGGTGTCCTCAGACCCCAGGCAGTATGTCAACAGATTCCAGCTGCCTGGAGATTCAAGGCCACTCCCTCAGCCTCATAGGCCCCCCAAGCTCAGGAGCCCGGGGGTCACAAACGCAGGAAAGGAAGTGCCTTCCTAGCTAACCACACTCTTCCAAAGGGAGCAGAGGGTGAGAGGGAGGTCGGGGCAGAGGGCATGGGGACTGAGGGGCCACCTCCCTGCCTTGCCACCCACCCTTACCCCTCTGAGCTCTCACCTGCTGAGGCACCCCCTAGCCCAGCCTCAGAGGGATAGGGTGCAACCAGACAGGTGACCAGAGGACCAGCCTGAGAAAGAGCCCATTGCACTCATCACTCCCCCGGGACACTCACTCAGGTGGACTACCTGCAACTCGCACCAACAAGAACCCTCGCCCCCCCAACCACAGGGATGACCACATTACATCCAACCTATTTGTCACAGCCAGGGCTCCAGGTGCCTGGTCTGGGAAGGGAGTACACACGAACACTCTGCTCTGTGTGTGAGTCCCTGGTGATGACGTTTCTGAATGTAGCTGTGAAAGACCCTGCACAGCACATACTTCCCACTGCTGCCTGAAACACTAGGACACTTGTCACAAAGCACTAAAATGCCCAAAGTCCCTGGAGCAGCCCCAACAGCCAGAACAACACAGGGTCCTCCTCTCCTGACTCAGCCGTGCTCGGCCTGACCCTGGTGTGGCTCCAGGAGAGAAGCTGCCCTCTCACCTCATCAAAGATCTCCAGGTAGAAGGAGTCCACACCCGGGGGCACTGTGCAGTGAATGACTTTATTCCAGCGCGGGTTCTTGGCGCCGTTGTGGGCTGTGGGTGTCTCATACACGGCATAGCCCAGGCGCAGCCGGCAGTATGGGTCCATGCGGGTCATGCCGTAATTCTTTGCCAACTTGGCCTGAAATAAAGCCAACGTCAGAAAAATGAGGCAGCCACTACCAGTGAGCACTCAGGTGCACCCGAGTTGTCTGTTCCTTCAACTCATCATTCTCCATGTTTTCCGGGTCTGCATCCAGCCATTTAAATCCTCGGAACATGGTTAGAAGTGTACTCCTGGGCACCAGGGTGAGAAGAAGTCCCCACATTGAGTGCAACTATAAAACTCCTATTGTGACTTTGTTCTAGACACATAGTCCATGGAAGAAAAGACACTGCCCTGGACCTGCGACACTAAGGATGCTGCTCTCTGTAAGACTGAGGAGACTTGCCCCACGGGAGGAAGGAACTGTAGACACTACATGTCCAGTAAAAGCGAATCCAGAATGGGATGCACAACTCCCAAATCTCAGCAACAAGAACACGACCCCGTGAAAATCTGGGCAAAGGTCTGCAGAGGACACCTGATGGCAGAAATGCATGTGGGGAGACACTTCCACCATCAATCCCCAGAGAGGGCAGTAGACACCCCAGGAGAGACCCACCTGAGCAGAGCAGGTGCTGGCCAGCCTGGGTCACCTAGCAGGAAGCCCATAGAGCAGCCAAGGGAAGAACGGGAAACAAGACAGCAGTGAGACCCCCTGTGCCGCACTCTGGCCACCGAAGAGGCTGGTGGTGAGGTGGGCAGAGTACTTCAGACCTGGACCACAGAGGGTGGAGCCGTGAACCTTTAAGTGTGAGACACAGAACAGGGGAAGCCCAGGACTAGAGGTCTGAGGTCCTAGAAGGATGGTGCTGCCACTTCTGACGTGGGGAGCAGCAGGCTGTAGGGGCTAGAGGGAAGAGCTCCCCTGCAGGCATGGCACATTTGAAAAGCCCACCAGACATCCAGGGAGGGCCTGGGCCAGGAGCTGCTCCCCTGGGACGTGTGAGCAGGAAGGAAAGGCGCTGGCTGGGACTGGACCCTGTGTTCCACCACCAGCCCTGGACCAGTGCATGGCCTCTGTGAGCCAGGGAAGGCGGCTTATCAGAAGGAAGGAGAAAGCCATGGGGGACACTACCAAAAGGCCAAGTATTGAGCCGGAATGTTTCTGACCATAGGACCTGCCCTCAGAGGGCCTGGTGAGCTGAGGGTGAGTGGAAGGAGCAGAGAGGTTGCCATGTCCTGCAGTCCCCCTGGTGCCTGCAGGAGGCAGTGCTCTGCTCCAGCAGGGTGTGAACCTGTGCAACAGGAGGGTGCTGGGAGAGGAGGTACGGTGCTACTACAGAAGCTCATACCCGGGTGGGCGTGTGAGGTACAGCGTGGCTGCGCCCCCATCAGCACTGAGGAGTGCCGCATACCTGGTGCTGCTGGCACCTGAACTCCTTCACCCCCAAGTCTAGCAGAGACCTCCTCTGGGCCAGTCTACAAGCCATGCAACTCGCAGTGACCCCTTCTTCATGCTTTACAGACAGTTTACCTCCTGCCTGTGAGTCTGGGTCTTACAGGCACACCTAGAGTGTCAGCGGGGGCTCCTGGCACACAGACTCCAGAGCTGCGCTCCCTGGCCGTCTGCCCCTGGTCCCTCATCTGGACAGCGCATGTCTCCACCTCCCCACTGCCCCGAGGTCAGGAGACACCTCTGCCTAAGCAGGTGCCAATGAACGCCTGTTACTGGTTCACGTATTTGGAGTAGGACTCTGGGCATCCATCGATACTTCTCACATACACCCTTTTTCATCAGGTATGTGTTCTAGGAAAAACCGGAATTACAGAAAGTTCCATTTGCTGACACAGAACCTAGGTTGCCTCCCCCCCCATCGCTGGGGCCCGCAGACACCCACCTGCACTACGGTGATGTTGAGGCGGTCCACCGTGCCCAGTGCCCCTCCATACTGCAGCTGCTGGGCCGTCTGCGCATCCAGCTGGACCTGTTGCTGCTGCTGCGTGGGCGCTATGCGGAGGAAGTCGTGAGGGAGCTCACCGATGTACACCTGCAGCCAGAGAAGACATGCTAGTAAGGAAGGGCCAGGCAAGACAGGACCGGACCCTGGCATTTCCAGGACCCAGACACTGCCCGAGCTGCCCTGGGCCGGTTTCTTCATCTGTACAATGAGAGGGGACCCTGACGACCACCTGTCCCTGACCACCAGGCCACCTGCCACTCTGGGGAGGGAGCCCTGTCACTCAGCGGGCAATGGGACACACCAGCTCTATGAAGGTCATGTTGCTGACCCCAAAAAGAGGTGCAGGTCAAACGGGTTTGCTGGGTGGTGTCACGGGTCACTTTTGGGTATCACAAGCTCTCTGTCTACCTGTCCGGGACCCATTCTCGCTGGGCCATTCCGACTACAAGCAAGGCGTGGCAATGACAAGGCAGTGGTTCACATGGACGACAGACGACGGGACGGGACCTGAGCTGGAGAGGAGGTGACTGGGAAAACCGCCTGCACTGACACACTCCCCACGCCTCATCTAACAGCTCAAACACAAAACTGCCCATGTGAGAGAGGAGGAAGTAGATTAACAAGAAGCCGCAATGATCTCGCCCTTGGCCTCTCACTGCAGCCTCTGTCCACCAGACTCCTGACTGGGCAGGACGAAGGAGCCCGGAAGGGCCTGGCTCCCGGGCTGGGAGACACTTTCCAGGGGACATGCCATGGGGCATGAAGCCCAAGGGAGACCCAAAAGGCTCCCAGAGAAGAGTGTTCCAGAAGCAGTGGAGGAGACGAAGCAAGAGCCAGTGGAGACTCACGGCAGCCACCCTGGTGAAGGCACCAGGACAGCAGAGAGGAGCAAGGGACGGATGGCTGTGTGCCTGAGCCAGAATATCCAGAGTATAACTATTGTTTTTGTCACGTAATGTGTGTCCTCCCTACCTAAACTAGTTAAACCAGCAGCACTGGGAATTAGTCACATAATGGAAAGAACCAGCGAACCAGAGCTTTTCCATTAGTCACTAATGGAAAGAACCACGCCACTGAGGCCTCTCTTTCCACCACACAAGGCTGCCCACAGGTACCCCCCAGGGCACCCAGGCACCCATGAGGCTCGGCCCAGAACAGTTTCTCCCACAGTGAAGCCCCTCGCATTATTGTCCCTCCAAGAGGCCTCTGTAAACTATTTCTCCTCATCGCCCACCCACTGTGGAATTTTAACACTGCAGGCATGCTGTGTCTGTTCACGTCCCTCATCCACCTGCACTTTCTCCATGAAAAGAGCAAGGGGGACACTTAACTCTCTAATGCAGCGTTAGGAATAACTAATTAAAAATTTAAGTTGCAAATTAGATTAAAAACTGAAAAACTAACTCTTAACTTTATTTGTTGAACAAACTTCAATGTAATTTAGTTACGTATATAGTATGGCAAATTACATACACGTTAGCAATTTATATAAATAGCAGTGTAATAAAAAATTTAGAGACTCGTTCGTTTCCAACAAAAGTAACATATCTGAAAAAGTTTCTTAAACATCTTTAGTGAGCTTAACTTTTAGCTTGTTTGCTATGAGAAAGTACTTTTTAACTGCTAGATGTCCTTTTCAGCAAGTGGTTAGTGATGGGCTGAATAACTCCTGTGAAATTAAAAAATAAAATGTAAATGTTTTTATTCAACTCTCCAAGTGCACACTGTACACACGGGCGTGAGGATCACACACAAGTGCGCTGGGCGGCAGCCCCAGTTGGCGGTGTCCACCTCTGACTTGTCTGCACCTGAGCTTCCATGCCTTGTCTGCACCTACCATGAACTCCATGGCAATGTGATGCCCAAGGAAACCTGCGGGAGCAAGGGCGCCCTAAGGAACAAGAGTCCAGCGGACCAGAGCTTAGGGACCACAGACCACTGTGGAACCTACATTTGCGCTGTCTCCTCCAAGAACCAATGTTCATTCTCTGGGACCAACATCACCCCCATGCTGAGAAAGCGCGTGCTCAGGGCTCTGGAGACCCCACAACCTGGTCCAAGGAGGCACCCCTGCGCCCTCACCACGTCCAAAGTTAATCACATGGCTCTAGGTCAACATGACCTTCACAGGTGGAACCACAGGAGGGAGAATTGGCCAGCTGAGGCCTAAAGGGACCGAGGGATACAACCAAACCAAACAAAAGCTCCCACAGGTAAGTAGCAGCCTGCAGGCCTCAAGGGGAAGTCAGCAGCTCCCTGGAGGGGAGGAACCCCAATACTAGCAACCACGCCTGCTGCGTCTGGAAGAAGCTGAACCCCTGGAGCCACTTTGCATCGGAGAAGCCTGCCCTGTTTGAAGGCCCTATGAGGGGACACTGGCCACCAGAATCACCCAGAACCAGAGCTCAGCATGTCCCAGAGTCTGGCCCAGAAGACGTGGCCTTGTACACCCAATGACCACACAAGGGGCTGGGAATGGACATGTAGGCTCAGACTGAAAACAGTGAGTGGACCAGGACAGACATGTGAGACTTGGGGGCATTCCTCCCACCTACACCTCCTCCAACTTTTTTTAGCCACTCAAGACAGGACAAGTGCTTCAAGGCCAAATGGCTTGGCTGTGCCAACTCTGCTCGAGTCCACAACACACACAAGAACCGTCAAGAGAATGGAGGCTGCAGTGTTCACATGGACAGGCAGGCGCTGAAGAGGGAGGAGAGGAGACATGAGAGTGACAATAACCACAGCTGTCCAAACAAGGATCAGCAGGTAAACATTGACAAGAACATGAGTGACTTTAAAAGGGGCCTCTGCCAGGAACCCCACAGCATGGCCTCTCATCCAAGTGCTGGGACCCTGAATGAGCCTGAGATGGAAGTCCCGCCCTCATTCGAATGAAACAAAACTGGGGACCAGAGGGCTGAGGGGTGCGCTCAGGCAGTAGGCACACAGGCTGCTAAGGCCTTTCCACCTGAGTGTGTAATACGGTCAGAATGAAATGCTAGGGAAAATCACTGCTCTCCTGGTACCTGTACTTTAAGGAAAGAAGACAGTTGTACGCTGAGGGTCCTAAGTACTGTAGGTAAAACACAGCGAGGTGAAATGTGAGGCAAGCTGACGTTTAAAGAGGGCAGCAGAGGCAGGCCCTGGGCACAAGGTGCCACCTGAGCAAAGACCCAAGTGACGTGAGGGCATCAGTCATGCAGAACCTGGGGAAGGACAATTCAGGTACAGGAAATCCCTGTGCACAGGGCCTAACAGGAGCATGTCTGCCAGGTCGAGGGACAGCAGGGAGCTGGCTGAAACAGAGAAAGGGAGAGCAGGAGGCCAGAGGGGGAGGATGTACAGCCAGGAGTGGTGGCCCTCAAAGGCCACTGACGCTGAGACAGGTGAGCAGCCAGGGGCATGCCTGGCACCTGAGTGCAGGGTGTGACAGCAGGTGGACCAGCTATGCAAGTGTGGCACTGTGGGTGGTGCAGAGGCTGGAACAGAATCAGAGTCCAGACTTGCTCTGGAGGCAAAGCAGCAGGACTTCCTGAGGGGTGCAGAGAAGGCAAGGTCATCCCAAGGTTTTTGGCTTGAGAATGTAAAGGATGGAGCTGCCACC